ACACACACACACACACACACACACACACACACACACACACACACACATACATTCGAGCAAGATTCGTGCCAAAATACCAGTTTCTATTCTGCGGTCAACACTGAATTGGAGTACATGTAGCACAAACAAAATGAAACAACTATCAAAGCGATGACGATTCTTTGTATTTGGCTGTGATGAGTATTATAATTATTCGGTTGGGTCGCTGGATCGCGGTCAAAGTCTTTGTAGTATTTTATCCGCGCGGCACTTTTCGTATGTTCGTTTTCGGTCTTTTGCACTCATCGACTGTATCTTCTTCTGATTGTATTTCAACCGGTATCATTCTCGTTTTGTCGCAAGCCATTTTGACGATGCATGCACAATATGCATACGCCAAAAATTGGAAACACCAATTTCGTGGCCAGTTCTATGTGTTTTCACACAATTTTTTTTATGGTCATTTCGACCTGTTGTATGCCTCGTCATACAGAGAGAATCTGTCGTTCTCTGACCTCGGTGGTTGTATGCAAGTTTTATGGATGTACCATATTCAGTTTCACATAGACACGAACCAAATATAAATACGAGATATGAGCACCACGATCTTATGTACACACTCGATAAAATCGTGAACGGTTACATGAAAATAAACAGAAATGAATTTTGAGTGCGTGCGCTTATAAAATTATATGCGTGCGCGTTCCGTGAGGTTTACATCTACCTCTAAAACCATGGAATCTAATGATGATGAGAGAACGGAACTCATCTCGCTACACACCATTTTTAATTGGCAAACACGCATCAATGCGTTAGAATAACAGATGATTGTTGACATTTTTGTGTGTGTGACCCATGCCTTTCACTCTATCTCTATATGTAATGCGAGATTTTACCTTTCAGTGAAACGTGCACAATGTACACACACATATATTCTTTTTTCAAATGACATTTGATAACACGGCATGCGTGCTTTGTTGTTTTCCCAACAGCTAGCTCTAGTTGGTTTGGTGTTGTTGTTCATTTCAATAATCATTTATCGAGGGATATAGCAGAGCCAACATGGAAAATGATAAGCAAGTAAAATGAAATTATAAAAATGAAATATTCTATGACAAATCATAAAAACCTGTATCTGTATATACATTGATTTAAAACGAAAGGAGAAACGACAAAAATATGGGAATTAAAATTAAATTTAACCACAAAATTGATGTGAACATGAACACATTTTTCGATAATAGCATTTTCTCTGGTTTCTATCTTTTGGGGGCAGCATGTATGCCATGCCTCTTGAGCAACATGAATCTCATTGTTATGCATGGGGATTAGAAATTGGAAAATTGTCATTTATTTGTGTTTCATTTTAATGAGTTTCAGTTTGTTTATTTTGTTTAAAGATACAAATTTGTTGCTGGCAACCGAAAGGGTTGTGACAATGAAGTTGAATAAAAAAAAGCGCTTCATTTCCAACTCATACCTACCCGAAATAATCGAATCTTCCAAAACTACCGAAAAAAATATATTTATATGGTTTCAATATGAGTCTATCGTTTGTTTTTTTGTCGACAAAAAAAAATCGTTTTCGAATGGAAAACTCACGCCGGGTATTTGAATTGTTTGCTCGTTGACTTTTCGTCATGTAATAGGGGAGGCGGTTTGTCAGCAAGTAATTTTTGAAAGAAGAGAGAGAAATAATAGTGTACAGTGTATATACAAAGTTACGTATTAATTGATATCAAAGCACTGATAATTTATCGCTCTTTCACCCTATCGCGCCGTCTATGCTCTTGAATCATGTTTACATATCGATCGTTTAATTATTTAAAAATAAAAAAAATGTCTCTGTCTCCACATAAAAAGACATGCATACACCCAGCAAACCGGACACTTTTTCGAAAAAAAGAAGAAACAGTACGAAGACAGCAAAAGAATCAGTTTGTTAGTGTTCAGGTTAACTTTGTGCACTGCTTCAAACTGCCAAAGTCAAAAGATGTTACACACAAAAAAGGCCACACAAACCCAAAATAACCGAACACGAAACACGACAAAACGAAGAACACACCACACAAAATCAAATTGAAGGAACAAACGATACACTATCGTCTGAAAGAAAGAAAATAGAATAACAACAACGCTGACGACGAACAACGAAACCAACGAAAGGAATAAAAAAAAAATATCCATCGAATGCTGAAAATTATTGGCGTGCATACGATCGAAAATTTAGTCTATTTTATTTTGGTTGTCGTGTACGTAAATGATTTTTCGATTGTGTATATTGACATGAAATTACATCGCGAGCAGACTTGCTCTCTCGGGGTATATATGCTATATGCTTACACATACATACGCAATTTAATTTATTTATGTGCGTGCACGGTAACAGCAGCAATATTTATCGAGTAAAGTTCAATATGGGTACAAAAACGATAGTGCTTCAATTTCAGAACAAGAGAAAAACAACAAAAACACCACCATATAAACAATGTATGCAGAGAAAAAAGCGACAGCAATAGCGGCAAACAGCATTACTTTGTTGTTAAATGGTATAACATTCATCAAATGCTTTTTTCTGCACGAACACACAATCCCTGGTAGAGTTTTTTTTCTCATTGCACCAGCCAAGTCATCGAAGGAAAGTTAAAAGAGACGGAGGGAGTTCTCAAATCTCTACTTAAAATGTTTCGATGATTGTGTTCGTTTGCTTATGGCCCCATGCAAGACAGATGTTTTCCAGCTTTTGAATGATGATGTTGAAGAAAAGATGGAAAAATTTCCGAAAAAAATTTATTGGCCGACAAAAATTAAAAGGTCTGAC